ACCATCTGCCACTGGCTGTGACATAGTGGGAGGTAACTTGCTGGGGCCGTGAGTGACCTCCACTGGCTGCTGGCTGTAGCGCGGCCCAGTAGGGCAGGGAGCCTGTCAGGAGGGGAGCCACCTAAGCTGGCCCGTGGGAGCTGCCAGTGAGACGTGCGCCCCATCTCAGAGATGGGCACCTATGCCCAGGCCTGCCGTGGGGAAACCAGCTCTTAGGGCATGTTATCTGAGGAGGAGCAGCTCTTTTGCACCTGTTAGCCTAATGGTTCAGGCACCTGCCTGGGCTAGAGGAGATCTCCCAGTTCATGCCACCACCACCCACCCATGGGGAGAAGGGATTTGAACAGGGATCTCCCAGTTGCGGCTCTAACCACTAGGCTACAGGATCTCCTGACATGGGGCTTCCTCTGTCTCTCCTGTTTCCACCATGGATAAGTGATGAAAATCTGAGTGGAGCTGGATTCTGGGTATCCCACATCCTGTGTGTGTCCTGTAATCCGCAAGTTAGAGTCCTCTTGCCCTCTGTACCACACTGCGGCTTCCTGAGGGTTAGAAATTCTTTGCAGAGCATCAATTCACCTGCTTTCTTCTCTGTTTGCAGAGGCATCAGTTGGACCATCTGCCAGGAAAAAGACAAGAGTCATGGCCAGGGCTAAAACTTGGATCCTGACCTTGGTTGTGTTGCTCTTCTCTGGGACGTGGGGCACAGTGGGTAAGTACCAACCATTCCCCTACACACACACACACACACACACACTCCCCCAACCATTGGTTGTTACACACACACACACACACAGAGTCCCCCACCCATTGGTAGTTACTGACATATTAGAAGGTCCCACATTTTCTCACTTCCCTTTGGACTTGGTTGATTAGAAAGAATCCACCGCCCAAGGCCGTGTTGCGTGGGGGAGGAGGGTGGTGCTGACAAGGGTGTGCCTTGGCAGGGCTCTGCTGTGTGTGTGAATAGTGTTGTGTGGGTGGGCTCTGCGGAGTGACTGTCACTCTGCGGGGGTCCCATGCAGCGAGTGGGAGATGTTGCGCTTTCTCACTTCCCTTTGGACTTGGTTGATTAGAAAGAATCCACCGCCCAAGGCCGTGTTGCGTGGGGGAGGAGGGTGGTGCTGACAAGGGTGTGCCTTGGCAGGGCTCTGCTGTGTGTGTGAATAGTGTTGTGTGGGTGGGCTCTGCGGAGTGACTGTCACTCTGCGGGGGTCCCATGCAGCGAGTGGGAGATGTTGCGCACTCTGTAGGCTGTGACTGGTTAGTAAGATCTGGCGTTGCTATCGTTTACTCACAGCCCTGGGATCTGATTGGCTGGGGGGGGGGGGGGGGTTGCTGCGCC